CCTGCTCAAAGCCAGGCTGCGGGTGATGGTTTGAAGGCGCAGGTTGGTTGTGTGAGTTATCACCCTTGGGAAGGCAGTGAGGGAGCATGGGGACACCCCATCCCAGAGCCAGAGCTTGGGGCCGGGTCACTGGGGCAGACAAGCAGGTCTCTGACACCAGCAGCCTTGTGGCATTGATCTGAGCTCATCTCTGGGTGCTGGAGCCAGGGAAGAGCTTTTTTAGGGGCAATCCTTTGTTTCAGGAAACATTAGAAACCAAGTTGGGTCCTTCTGAGCAAATTCTGCCTGCATGGAGGTTCCATGTGCTAATTACTTACATGGAAACCCCCCATTAATCAGAGCTGGTGACATTTATGACACCAGCTCCATGGTGGAATGTGCCTGAAACATCCAGGTCAAGTAAGACCTGGTGGTTTTATGGGACACAGGTGAGCCAGGGGGTGTCCCTGGGGGACCCGGTTCCCAGCAGCAGCAGGAGCACTGGAAGCTCCAAAGGGGAAAAAACAAATCAGGTGCTGTAAGAGTTGGAGTGATGTTGTGAGAGCTGGCAGCACCCAAGCGGTGTTTGGGGTGGTTTAATGTTTAATTGAAAGCCTTTCATTGTTATTTAATGTCTTGTTTGTGCAACTTTAAATGGACCAGCTTGAGCAGCGTTTCCGAAACCTTTTTCCTTCTAAAAGGCCCATGATTTGCCTCGAGCAGCAGTGCCAGGGGTGGTGTGGCAATGCACTTACTGTCCACGCTGCGTTTATTGGCACGTGCATGCCTGAAGATGAGCATAGATGGAGTCTGGAGAGGTGGAGTATGATGTGCTGTTGCTTCTTAATCCAGGTTATGGAACTAGTGGCCACTGGCAGTAGCTGGATTCCTAGAAGAAAGAAATTGGCTTCATTCTGAAATTGATTTTGCATGCAAATTGACAAAACTACAGTTAATTTTTGCTGCTTTCTAGCATAGGTGTGACTCCAACTCACTCAAACCACCTTTTACGTTGTTGGCGTGTAAAAGGGAGGCGAAACCTCCTCCAGAGCAGAACTGAAGTGTTTCTGCAGGAGGGAGTGTTGGCGGGTTTCTGGCGAGCCCAGATAACGTGCCACGGCTTCAGGGAACGCTTCGTGGCGGGGTTTGGGTTTCACAAAGGCAAAATCCCTGCGGGAGCTTAGGAAATCTCTTCCCAGAACACAACCAGGGAACGCTGGCACCGCTCGAATAGCAAATAAATAGCAGAGCTGGCAGGAGCTGCAGCGGCTCCGTGTCGAGAGCACGTCAGTGCGGAGTGTTTGAGCATGGGCTGGGAGCAGCAGAGTGTGCTCAGCCCCAGAGAGGGGCTTTGCTGAGCTGTGGGCTAAGAACTGGTTTCTCAGTGGCTGAAGGTTAGGGTTAGTCGGGAGGTTTAAGAGCCCAGCGAAAGCCCTGGGTCATCTCTGCAGGAGGAAAAGCAGTTTTGTCTGAGGATTTCTGCTCAGAATAGATGCTGAATTAGGGGGGGGTTAATTACTTACAAAGATCTGGATTCCATTTCAGTTAAGGAGCATGAACTCCAGGTTTTGGGGTGAAAGTAGAATGACCTCCGTGCAGGACGTGGCACTGGTTACCATGCTCACAGCCAAAGGGATCCTGCAGACGAAGCTTTCCTCTCTGTGGTTTATTTATTGAGGAACTTGATTTCCCTGGTGATTCTGGGGGACTCCCCAAGGCAGAAGGGACTTGCCCTGCTGGCGTGTTCTCCCTACATCTGCCTGCCAGTTCCTGGGAATCCCACACTGGGATGTTGCCTAAAGCGTGGCATTTTGGGGTGTTTCTCTCAGTGTTTTCATGCTGCTCCATTTTTACAGGGTCAGATCTCTGACAGCAAAAGGAAAATGGTTTAAAAAGGTCCTTTTGAAACCCAAATAGGTGATCCCAGACGTATTCCCCTCAGCTTGTGGGACACATCCCCTTTTCCGAGCTGCACAGAGCCCCCTGCGTCCTTTAAGCTCGTGTGGATCCGACCTGCTTTGACCAGTTGAATCATTTCCTGTTTTCTTCAGTGTTTGGAGAACTCGAGGCAGGCTGGAAATGTTTGCAGACAGGGTGAACCGACTGTGCTGGGGCCATGGGAAAAGTCCAGGCGTGCTGGATCCATATGGAGGAGAGAGGATGAGAGTGCGGGGTCATGGTGCGTGATGGGGCTGGTCCTGGCTTGTGCTGAGCAGGTGACTGAAGGGCTTTGGGAGCCACATCCTGTGCTGCGGGAGCTGGGCTGTGCTCATCAGTGGAGGATGCACTGATGATTTTCCCCTTTTAAGAACCTGTGCATTGAGGTGTTGATGTCAAAAAGGGGTTTTTAATAGAAAACTGCATTGCTAAGTTCAGCCTGGACAAGGGAAGGCTCCTGAAGGGGAGACCTCAGAGCAACTCCAGTCCCTAAAGGGGCTCCAGGAAACCTGGAGAGGGGCTTTGGACAAGGGATGGAGGGACAGGACAAGGGGAATGGCTTGAACCTGCCAGAGGGGAGATTGAGATGAGCTCTGAGGCAGAAGCTCTTCCCTGTGAGGGTGCTGAGGCGCTGGCACAGGGTGCCCAGAGAAGCTGTGGCTGCCCCATCCCTGGCAGTGTTCAAGGGCAGGTTGGACACAGGGGCTTGGAGCAACCTGCTCTAGTGGAAGGTGTCCCTGCCCGTGGCAGGGGTTGGAGCTGGAGGAGCTTTAAGGTCCCTTCACCCCAAACCAGTCTGACTCTATGAAATGTTCAGGTACAGTTTTCAGGTCCAGGTGTGCCCTAATGCCCCTGATGTGTGCTGCTGACTCGTTTCCAAGCCCTTTTTGTGGAATCTGTGTGCTCTGGCCCACAAGGGAGAGCTCAAGGTGAGGAAGCAATTCCAGGGGGAAGCATCCACAGCAACAGTGGGAAATGTCCTTTGGCTGGTGCCACACAGAGTCTGTGAGTGGCGGGGAGCCCCTTGGCATCATCCTTGGGGTACCCCCACATGGGTGCTGGCCAGGCCAGGTCTTTTGGGTGCCCCCAGCTCCTGCAGCCCTTCCTGGTGAGGAAGCAGCTTTTAAATCACATTGAGGGTGTTCTGTAGAAATAACCCTAACCAAGGTGCTGGGAGTACAAGGAGCTGTTGGCACAGGCAGCGTCAGCACAAAGCCAGGAGGAGCCGCAGAGGTGTCAGAGCAGGGAGGACATCTCCAGGCAGGGGTGGGAGGGCAGGTTTGCTGTTTGACAGTGCCTTTTGGCCTGGAGAGGAGCGTGGAGGAAATTGCTGTGTGGGATTTTGATTTGAAAGGAAAAGCTGTGGGAGATTTCACCAGAAATGTGATGTGAAGAGAGCATGGTCTGTTCACGCTGCTCCCCTCCTGCGGCACTGACTGTAATGGAAGATTAAAACTCAGCCACAGGGGCTGTTCTGCTTTGAACCACAGATGAAAATGACAATCCGTATACTCCTTGCTAGGGATGCAGTGCTGTGCCAGAGCCGGTGCCCAGTACAGGGGCTGGAGAGGGGAGCGACATCCAAGGGAATGAAATGGGTCCTGGAGAGCTGGTATTTGTTGTTCCTGAGGAGCTGTAAAGCATTTTCCATGGATGGGGGGAAAGCACTAAACTCCTCATGTGCTCCTGTGCTGTTTGTCTTACAAGAGTGGGGCACATCACCCCAGCCCAGAACCCCTCCACTGAGAGGTGATTGTACCCACGGGTGATGCTGCTGTCACCAGGACCAAGGGCATGGCACTGCCTTGAATAAGTAACCAAGGTTAATCGCGTGTCTGGGTGAGCCTGTGTGCTTCACCTCAGGTTTGGTGGGGCTCGGCTGCTGCTGGGGGGGTTTGGTGCAGGGGTGGACTTTATCTGGGCTGTTTCTGCTGAAGGAAATGCACTTTTTTGTTTTGTTTTAATTTCTCTGGAGTGGTTTCGGACAATTGGTTTTCTAAAATAGCCTCAATGAGAGGAAATTCATTTGTTCCCCTGTCCCTGCTCGGGGGAGCAGGAGGACAGGGTGCAGATATGGTGCTTCCTTGGTAGCTTTATTTATGATTGCATCTGCTTCAGAGCAAAGGCAAACCTATAAATTAACCACCGTGCTCTTGTCCCCTCTGTTAACCAGGATTTAAACGGACAGAAGGAGCTGTGCCCACGTCTCTGCCACCTGAAGAAGGGTCCCAATGGCTACGGCTTCAACCTGCACAGTGAGAAGTCCCGGCCGGGGCAGTTCATCCGCTCGGTTGATCCCGACTCACCAGCTTCCAGATCGGGGCTGCGGCCCCAGGACCGGCTGGTGGAGGTAACGCCTTGAGGGCTTGGCACATCCTGGCCTCAGGAGCATCCAGGGTTTCCTTGATGTGTTCCAAGGATGTTCAGTCCTGCCCGGCCAGGTCCTGTCCCCCTCTTGCCCAAGTGATTTGGGACCCTCAGGAAGCCTGATGCTGAAACAAACCCCCATCCCATGATCTGTTCCATCAGAATTCCCTGTTTTCCTCTGTCGCAGAGCCATGAGACCGATGTGGGTGCTCAGGCAGTGGCTCTGTGGTCCTTCAGCAGCTCATTCAAAGCAGGCATTTGCGAATGCTGAAATCCAGATGATGCTCCAGGCTCCTGCTGGCACAGAGGAGAGTCATGCAGGCAAACTGCAGCCCTTGTGCCTGTCCAAGTGGCTTAGGGGTGGCAATGGGACCCTCTGGACAGATAGGGTGCTTGATGGGTGCCCATCTGCCCCCCTGCAGCACCCATAGTCGGTGGCATTGCTTGATGCCACCCTGTGCTAGAGCTGGATCTGCCTATAGCAGTGGAAGGGATGTGGGGACACATGGGACCCGTCCCACCATCAGTGCAGGGCAGGGGGTGGCCTCCTGCCCAGCCACCCTCTGGTCTGGTGTCCAGAAAGAGGGGAAAAAGCTTTGCAGAGATTTTTAAGACACTAAATCATGAAAGAATGGGAGGAAAATTGCTCTTGGAAGCATTTTCCTGGTCTCTTGAGTGCTGGACAACACGAGTTTCGATGTAGCTGGGAAATACCCTCCCTTTGGCTTGTTTGTCCAGTGTTTTTCTGAAGAACAAGGTTCCTCCATCCAGAGAACACTTTTATCCCACATAGCTGGGTGAGATAGGGAAATAACTAAGACCAAAGCACTTTCCAGCCCCTGAATAACTGCTCTACAGCTGTGGGAGCTGCTGCCTCTTCCCAGCCCCTGCAAGTTGAATGCAGGGAGCAGCGTGGTGCAAGGAGCAGGGCAGCGGCTCCGGCTCCGCGGTGTCACGGCGAGGGGCTGTGTTATTTATTGATGGGTGCCTGGCCGGGTGCCTGGCACACACAAAGCAATGAGGGGTGAGCCGGCGAGCTCGGGAACTCGATCCCCTCCCAGCCTGCTCTGTGGGGCTCTGATAAATATTTGATGCCCCCCCAGCCCTGTGCTGGGACGGGGGGAGCAGCTCGGTGCTGCCTGGCTGAGCTCACCCGGGGTGAGCGCTGGGTGTGAATCGGGGTTTGAGGAGGATGCTGCTGGGGATGGAGCAGCGTTACAAGCCAGCAGCTGAGGTTTCCAGCATCTGCAAAGCCTGGGCAGGGGGTTCCATTTCCATCGCTGCTCTTGCAGCTGTGTCCTGACCCTCAGGACCTGCTTGTGCTCCAGGTTAATCTTCAGGCATCCAGAACACAAAGGGGAGCCCAAAGGTTGGAGTTGGCCCAGCTCGGGCTCTGCAGCGTTTGCCTGTGTCCCTTCATTGCTGGGACGAGCAGCCGGCTCCACTGGGTGTGTTGTGGGGCTGGGATGGGGTTATCCCACTCCTAGGCTTGGTCCTCAACTCTGGAATCTGTGTGCTTTCGCACAGGAGAAGGCAGTTGTCTGTCTGCAGGAGGAGGAGGAATAGAAACATGTTGGTGCTGGTGATGCTGGCAGATGTGTGCATCCAAAATGTGCAGAGATAATGTTATGTGGGGCTTAGGAAACCCAACAAAACCTGCTCTCTGCTTTTAACGAAGGCATTTGTGATAGACACATTGAGAAGCCTTTGTCTTGTTCCACACAGTTGTAGTGATGGAGTAGCTGTCTTTAAGAGGAGGTTACCCGTTCCTGGTGATCTCTGCACCACCAGCACTCTCTGCCCAAGCTGCATTAGCTCGTGGCTCTGCTGTCCCGCAGACAAGTGCCTGCGGATGGGTGAAGGGTGGATTGGGCTTTGCTGGAGATGAGCTGGAGCGTTGAGAAGGAGTTTCTCACAGTGAATCAGGTCCAGCAGCGAGGGGCTGGGCGGTGCAGAGACCTTCCCCTGCGGGACAAAGGGCGATTCATTCCCCACCGTGAACAATGCCTCCAAATCACAATTGTCCCCTTGCTGCGGGGAACAATCGGAGCAGGGGATCACGTTCCCTGCCAGGTCCCGGCTCGCACGCAGGGAAGGGAGAAATGAATCCGTGCAGCAGGCACGGGGACATGGGAAATCCGTGGTTTTCCATGGCAGAGGGGTGGATGATGGGCAGGGCCGCAGAGTAGGTCACACTCCTGCACATGGTTGTACCCCACAGAGATCCTGAGATACCCGGGGCACATCCAAGATGAAGGCTGGGTTTGGAATCACTACGGAGGGCAGCCAGAGCGTTTTGGCAGGACCTGGGTGGGTGGGGTGATGGTGGAGCCTGGGCTCTGTTCTTCCTAATGGATGTGGTTGGGATGTAGGCAGAGATGTGCAGTAACATAAAGGATGCTCTAGCAGGGGACCAAGCAGGAGGGGGGTGGTAGGAGGCCATGGCTGGAGAGGGAAGGAAAAAGCCTGTAGCCTTCCTATCATCCCAGTGGGAATTAAACAAGGAAAACCCCATTCCTTAGGGGATACAAAGGTTGCTCTGGGGGGGTCTGTGAGGCAGGACCAGTTGCAGGGGTGGGTGTGCAGATGTGGTTCTGATGCCATTGCTTTGCAGGTGAATGGCATAAACGTGGAGGGGCTGCGGCACTCGGAGGTGGTGTCCCACATCAAGTCCAGGGAGAACGAAGCCAGGCTCCTGGTGGTGGACCCTGAGACAGATGATTACTTCAAGAAGCTGGGGGTGACCCCCACGGAGGAGCACACCAAAGGTGAGCCCTGAGCTCTTGCTTTCCCTGGGTTATCCTACGCCATTCCTGTGACTCACCATGTCCTGGGTGGGATTCCAGAAGCGAGGGAGAGTCACGTTTCCCTTCTGCCTCATCCCGGGTAGTTTCCTGAGCACCACCCAGCTATTTATAAATGGTGAGAACGCTTCCTAATCTAGCCCAAACCCAGCTGGGTATTTGTACAGGGTGAATGATTAACTTGGGAACTTGCTGCCATAGCGTGGCTGAGGCTGAGTGTGGTGGGAGATACTGGGGAGCTGGGTGCTTGGGATGAGGGATGAGACGCAGGATGCTCGGATGCGATGGGGCTGAGACATCTCCCTGATGGCATTTCCTCCAGCCCCTCTGTTTTTGGCTGCTGAGCTGTGATCTCGGTTGGAAGAGTGCAGTAAAGCCCCCATTGCTCTGCTGAAGGAGCCTGAGTGTGCACCAAGAAGCACCAGAGCAAGAGGGGAAGGTTTTCACGCCACAGCGATCACAGGGGTGGCTCTTGCATCAAACGCTTTCCTTGGTGTTGAAACCTGGCAGGGAAAGCTGCCTGTCTGCTCCCCAGCCTGTGGTGCTGCAGCTGCCCAGCCTCTCCTGCCCCCGGCTCCACCGGGAGCTCTTGTTTCCCAACAGAGACGTTCCTTATCTGCTCTGTGCTCCGGCTCCTGGGTGCTCAATGGGGGGGTTTGTCCAAAGAAATGGGTCACACAATGCTGGGGAGCGCAGGGGCGAGAGCGGGGTCAGATGTTGCACATCGGTTTGAGGAGGAGCTGGGGCAGGAGCTGTCTGGTGGCACCAGGGAGAAAGGAGCCCTTGTTCCCCATGGTGGGGATGCAGCCAGGATCATGGATGCACAGTGAGTGCTGGAGCCCCGGCAGCTTTTGTGGCCATCTTAGTGCATTCCTCATGGACCAGGCTCTGCCTGGTCAGTGACAGTACCTGTGGTGATGACAAAGGGCCCTGGTAAATCCTGTTGTTTGCAGGATTAGGGGAAATACTAATTACATTCTTTGCACTGCCTTGAGCTCAAGATGACAAGGGTAAAGTCAAGAGACAAGATGCAGTGAGCTGCTGGAGCTCTCGGGGGGAAGGCAGGCTGGGGATGGGTGATGGTGAGGGGTTCCTGCCTGGGATCTGGGACCAGCAATCCCAGCTCGTGTATTTACTGCGTGTTGTCCTCATGTGGTCCGTAGGTGTGGTACCTCAGCCCATGACAAACGGATCTGCACAGACTCAGGTGAGTACTTGCCTGCTCCAGGATGCCCCAATGGCCAGGCAGCATCCCTGTTAGCTCTGTTCAGGGGAACGTGTTGGAGTGGTCCAGAGGGATGGGGGGAGAGAGGCCAGGCTCCTGGCATGCTGGCTTTCCTCAGCTCCCACTTGTGACATATAAGGCTGCTGGGATGACTTACCAGCCTGCAGAGCTGAGAGGGATGCTCATAGTGCCCCCAAGGCTCATTTAGTGCAGTTTTACTGCTGCTGCCTGATTTTAACTGCTCCCTGATGCAGCTTTAATTCAGGGGTTGAACAAGGCTGGTTTCAGCCCCATTTCAGTCCCAGGGCTCGGGTCCTGTCCCCAGGTGAGTGGCTGGGATGTCTGTCCCCACCAAGCTGGAGCATATTTGCTCCAGTTGTGAATTCCCCATCCCTGGCAGTGTTCAAGGCCAGGTTGGACACAGGGGCTTGGAGCAACCTGCTCTAGTGGAAGGTGTCCCTGCCCATGGCAGGGGGTTGGAACTGGAGGAGCTTTAAGGTCCCTTCAACCCAAACCAGGCTGGGGTTCTATGAATTTTCTGCCTAGTTGTTTATTTTGTCCCTAATTCTGTCTGTGCAAACTGCACTAACACTGTAATTCCCACTAGCTGAATGGAGGATCCACATCTTCATCTCACAGCGACCTTCAGAGTCCTGGGAAGGAATCAGAGGTAAAACCCCAAACATTCCCCCTTCCTTTTACGTACCATGGTACATACTTGCCCTATGGTGTAACGATGCTTTTTGATGCACTTTCAGGTTTATCTCACAGACTTGGGTACACTTGTAGCCACCAGCAACAAAATCCAGTTTTCTTTCACCTCTTGCACTGTAGATGTGCACACAATGGAGCCATGAGCTGTCACAGCCACTGGTTCCAGTGTGGGAATGGCTGCATTGCTGGGATGGATCCGTCATCCCTTCAGGTGGCTGGTCAAGGGCCAGGTGAAAGGATGTCTACGGGGGCTTCTGGGTCCTAAGTGTAATTATACTGATCAGCTACAGGGCAGGAGGTGAAGCTGGAAGCCAGAAGGGCAGGAGGGTGGAGCAGCGAGGTTCAAGTGCTGCTACCAGGCATAAGGGAGACTGAAATGCAAAAGCAAGCAAGCCAAGTAGCTGTTAGCTTGGAGCACAGTGAGTTTATCAGTGTTTAAAGAGCTGCTCGAGACGGGAGGAGCGTGGATTTGGTGACCTGCAGGGCTGGGGTGGTTTCTCGAAGGCCAGCTGTGCCCAAGCCGTGGCCAAACGCCTGCAGTCTGGCATCTCCGTGTCTCTCTGAGCATTAAATAATACATGTCCTGATCCAATGGCTGCTGCCTTTGGAAAACCAGGTCCCAGTGCCTGAGCAAAGCGGATCCTCCCATGGGGTGTTTCAGAGGTGGCTGTGGCCCCTCTGCACTAAAACCAGAGGTGCTGGGGTTGGTGGTGGGGGGGGGTTGCCTGTGGCTCTGCCCCCCAGCTCACACCCTGGTGTGCTCATTGAAGCCACCACCCCATTCACTTTGCATTCATTAAGCCAGAGCCATTATGTTGCAGTGCTGATGGAAGACCTGCCCATGGTTATCAGCAGGGTTTGTGCAATCATTACATTGGAGCTCTGCATGTGTGTGGTCGGGCAGCAATGAGAGTAGGCAGGTATAAATGCTTCCTTCACATGGAAGGCAGTGTGTGTCTGAGCCCAGAACCTCCCCCCGCATCCTGCATCCAGCTCTGGGGCACCAGCACGAGAGGGATGTGGAGCTGTTGGAGTGAGTCCAGGGGAGGCCACGGAGCTGCTGCGAGGGCTGGAGCAGCTCTGCTCTGGAGCCAGGCTGAGAGAGCTGGGCTGGGGCAGCTGGAGAAGAGAAGGCTCCTGAAGGGGACACCTTAGAGCAGCTCCAGGGCCTAAAGGGGCTCCAGGAGACCTGGAGAGGGGCTTTGGACAAGGGATGGAGGGACAGGACAAGGGGAATGGCTTGAACCTGCCAGAGGGGAGACTGAGATGAGCTCTTGGGCAGAAGCTCTTCCCTGTGAGGGTGCTGAGGCGCTGGCACAGGGTGCCCAGAGAAGCTGTGGCTGCCCCATCCCTGGCAGTGTTCAAGGCCAGGTTGGACACAGGGGCTTGGAGCAACCTGCTCTAGTGGAAGGTGTCCCTGCCCGGGGCAGGGGTTGGAGTGGGCTGATATTTAAGGCCCCTTTCAACCCAACCCATTCCATGATACTATGGAATGGTTTCCACATGTTTGCCCACTGCTGACATTATCCCAGCAGACAAGCGGGGCAGTTTTTCCCCTGGCAGCAGCTTCTGTGATCCAGCTTTTCCACTTCCACACGTTTTTCAGGTGGGGTAAAGAAAACAACCCACAAGATGCAATGTCATAATTAACTCCGTGGCCACACGGATGCTGCTGCCACCAGTGAAACCACAGACACGGCACTGAGGAAGGACTTTGACCTTCTGCTCCAAAATAACCCATCTTGAGTGTTTGCTCATGGTCTATGCTGCAGAAACACCTCTCCTGGGCTATGTGGGGTGAAATGCTGCAGGACGCTCATGGCCATGCTGTGGTGGTGGTGATGGGATGCTGACATATTTTCTCTCTTCTCCACGCAGGATGGAGACATAGAGAAGAAAGACCCGTTTGAGGAGAGCGGGTTGTCCTTGAGCCCAACGGCTGCTGAGGCCAAGGAGAAGGTGAGGGCCAAGCGTGTGAAGAAGAGAGCTCCGCAGATGGACTGGAACAAGAAGAGAGAGATATTCAGCAACTTCTGAGCCTTGCTGGTGCCCACCGTCCAACTCAATCCTGTCCCTGCCCCAGCCTGGACGTTTCTGAGGTGCCTAAGCCCTGTCCTTCAGTGTCCACGTGAGATGCTTTGTGCTCTGCTCTTCACTGGTTGCTTTTACAAGGCGTATTTTAAAGTCCTTTTTTATTTTTTATTATTATAATTATTATTATTGTTGTTGTTGTTGTTACTCACCAGCGATTCTCATAAGACAAATGTGACCAAAGCTCCTCTTCTTGCTTGCTCTGGCTGCCCGCCGTCCCCTGTTCCTATGAGAAAAGACTGGAAGAGTTTAACTCTTTATTACCTGGATCATTTAGGCTTCTATTACCTTTTTCTCTTTGTATTTGGGGTGTGTGTTTGGTTTGTGGGTGTCCCAGACTGAGCCCCATGGGATGCTCCG